GACTAATGAATTCATGAAACTATAAACTATTTACTATATAATATAGCTTTTCATATTCGCAGTGCAATTGTGATCATATATATCAATATTTTTCTCAATCTAACGTTGCGCAGTAAAGAAGCTGTGCATGCATGCTGCAGCTAGTATTATTCAATGAAATTCATTTTTCACTAGTATTTAGTCCCTTTGAAGACATATACGTAGTTAATTGAATTATTCTATAAAATCCCATCCAATCAGAAAAATGCGTCACCGTTTCGACGCACGAATGTTATCATATTAATTGTAATTGACATTTGAATGAATAATTTTACCACGTCAAAAGTCGAATTGAAACCGTAAAAATTTGGCGGAAATTATCTCCTCATGTACTGCGTGTACAACAATGTTTGGTGAGATTGTTAAGGCATTATTAAAAGTAAAACAATAGGAATAGTCACTTTTTGAAAAGGCGCGCTATCCAACAAGGTATAAGAACGGTATTTCAGAAAGATAAAAAGCAAAGTAGCTACAAACATACCTATTCCTTTGCTTTGCTTTGAATTAGGCAATCGACAGTACGACATTCCAGGTCTTAGGACTGCATCAGTTTCGTTTGCCGCGTAATTTTTATCACATTTGTTGCACTGCAGATTTCTTCTTAAGATATGAGTACTGTATGGGTTTGCGTTTTATCGATAGCTTCACACCACAAGGAGTCACCTAGTACAAAGCAGAAACATACATATTTAAAGCTGAGTTCCGGGTGTAAGCGCGCGGCGAGGGTACTACAATTCCGTCTAGCTTGCTGTAGCTAGTATTATTCAATGAAATTTGCTTTTCACTACTATTTAGTCCCTTTGAAAACATACATAGTTACAGTCATGCCAATAGACGCGTTCCGAAAAATGATGACCAATTCATTTCCTAACTTGAAGGAACACCTCTGAACAATTCCTCAACAATTTGATAAGTTCCTTAAAAAGTTCCTAACTTCCTGTTTCATTGACCAATCAGATTGGTCAAAAATAAAATATAAAATGTGATTGGTCAATGAAACAGGAAGTTAGGAACTTTTTAAGGAACTTATCAAATTGTTGAGGAATTGTTCAGAGGTGTTCCATCAAGTTAGGAAATGAATTGGTCAACATTTTTCGGAACGCATCTATTGGCACGACTGTAATTGAATTATTCTATAAAATCCCGTCTAATCAGAAAAATGCGTCACCGTTTCGACGCACTTATTAATTGTAATTGACCCTATTTGAATGCTTAATTTCAGGTTATATATCGTTCCATGTTTAGAGCACCAATATAGGTAATAGGGTTAGGGGTTATAGTTATATTAGGGTTAGGTTTAAGGTTAGGGTGTGTATACATGTGTATGGTGGTATCCAGTTCACTTTTCAGTACACTATAATATCCATTACATTACGTTTACTTAGTGCGCGAAACATGGAAAGATTACCTAATTTTACCACGTCAAAAGTCCGAATTGAAACTCGTGCTGGTTGTAATGAATATACTCTAAAAATGTCCTTATGTACTGCGTGTAAAACAATGTTTGGTGAGATTGCTAAGGCATTATTAAAAGTAAAACAATAGGAATAATCATGCACTTTTTGAAAGGAAACGTCAAGGCGCGCTATCCAACAAGATAAGAACAGTATTTCAGAAAGATAAAAAGCAAACTAGCTATACAAACATACCTATTCCTCTGCTTTGAATTAGGCAATAGACTGGATGACATTAATCCAGGTTTCAGGATTGCATCAGTTTTGTTTGCCAGGTAAATTTTATCACATTTGTTGCACTGCAGATTTCTTCTTAAGATATGAATACTGTAAGATATGATATGGCTTGTGTTTTATCGATAGCTTCACACTATACAAGGAGTCACCTACAAAACAGAAAATACATATTTTATATTTAAAGCTGAGCTCCGGGCGTATAAAACCCGAACGAGGTTACTATAATTTCGCCCGGCTATTTACCCCCGGGTTGCAAAGTCTATAAAGTTCATCAATAACCGCGGGCGCGTGAGTAAATATACGAGTATGATTCATCAGTTCATGGGTACATGGTCATCTCATAACCTATGTACAGCCGTTACTCTCGACGAAACGCGCGAGAGAACGTCTGTGAGTTGGACGCATAATCCTTGTTCAGGTCACGTGAATAGTTCCCTGATTTGAGGACGGGCCTCTGATTGGACAGTGCTTTATATGAATAATTTATGACAAATGAAGCTATTTCATTGATTAATTCATAATTAGCATGCGTTTAAAATAACACAAAAATTTTAAAATTCCAGATCAAGATTTCCTTCGGCTTCGGGGCATACAAAGGTTTGAAAGACTTGAAATACAATCTGAACTCACAGACGTTCTCTCGCGCGTTTCGTCGAGAGTAGCGGCTGTACACAGGCTATCATCTCACTGATCTTAAAATATGTTTGCCAGGAGTGAAGTAAGCAAAAATTTAAAAGAAAGCATAGGAAAAGTGCGAGTACTAAGTAGACAGTGCGAGTACTGCTAATTTCAATGAACATTTAAAAACGTTTTACAAATTTCACATTCGATAATACATGAAAAAATTTCTGAATTCCGATTGGCTAAAGCAGTGCATTTTGTTTTCAAAATACACGGCAAAAAAATACAATGCAAATTTCTTAATTTTTTATATTTTTTTATTCTTCAATCTCTTAATTTTCTTAATTTCTAAATGTGACTTTTTCCATGCATAATAGGG